TAGCTAAATAACCACGCCCAGCCACCCCAACTCTTATGTGTATATATATAACAGCACACCTACACACTCACACACACACTAGCAAAACACTAAGCATCAATTAACCCAATTTTCAGAATCCATTTTCACCTGACTCCGGGCACTGCTCTCTGAGCTTTAGCTTTTCTCTATATACTTTGCAAGCTACACTTCTTTCATGTTTTCTTTTATTTTATTTTATTCATTTTCTTTTTCTGTTCTAACCCCCACCCAATGCAGTAGTGTGTTTGGCCATGCTGTTCTTTTAGATGTATTTTTTAGGATATTTTGTATACCCAGCTCGACAAATGCAACTCTCAGGGTCCCATGCTGAAAAGAGTCTTATTGATGAAAGTTCTTTGAATATCATAAGCATGATAGGAGATTTCTTCACCCAAGACATTCCAAGAAGAGGCCAGGATATGTAATTAGAAATTTATGAGTCTATGTTAGGCTAACAACCCTATTTTTTGTACTACTGGGTATCTGCTGGTTGGGCTGCAATGACTACAGCACACTGCTTACTATGCTGCACCATCACGAATCCCAAGTGGCGACGTCGCCGTACGCCAAACTTTAATCCCAGATATTCCATACACACATACTAGTACATAATGTGGCTCGCCTCTAGCCGGCAGCTTCTCTTGGCATTTTTTCTTTCTTTCTCTCTCTTTCGCAGGCGCTGACGTGTTCTGTTGTAGTTTGGTTTTGGTTTGGTCTGGAGGATTGGATGGGAACGCCTTCATAGAAGCTGCCAGCAATGATTATAATTAATCTATTGATTTTAATTTGCAGCTTACTGAATAATTCACATAAATATTGCAATTAATTTTTTCCAGCATTTAACATGGCATATTTAAATAACTATGAACGAAATTTTTTGATGTAAATTCCGTTTATTTAATTTCTTTTTTGTTTTTGTTATTCCCCAGCTCAGCAAATGGAGCTTATTACGAATTGATGAGCTCGTAATCAGCAGCAACAACTACTTTTAATAAAATTTAATTTCAACAGGCATTTTTATTACAGTTTTCACAGTTTCTGATTTGCATTTAATCATAAATAATAAATACTTACACATTTCACAGGATTTCTTTTTCTATTAATCTAATTATACAATTTCATAGACTAGTTTTTATTCCGCATCTTTAACATGCGGGTGACATTGGCCCTGGACAGCTGGTACAAGCGCTGCCGAACAGACATTTGATTGATTTGCTGCCCAGCATTTATCAGCCCGTCCAGCCAGAAGCAGCTGCTGCAGAGACCAAACGCTGCTGGGAGCACTGGGAATGTCAACTGGTAAGTTTTATTGGGTGCGCCCTTCGGCCAGTTTTTAATAGCAGAATTTGACATACATTTATGTAGGTGGTGGCAACTTCCTCAACTTATACGGGCCAGGCCTACTCTGAAGTCGAGAAACTGTGTGAAAGCAAAAGTAACGCAACTCTTGAAATAATTTAAATAGAGGTTTCATATGCTATATAATTTATATATGCACTAATTCGTCTAATTTACATAATTAAAGTAATTGCTATCTCTTATTGCATTTTAAATTAGCTCAAAAACACATAAATATTAATGTAAATATATTGAAAATCGCTTTGATGATTTTTGTTAATTAAATTTAATATTTAAATCGACTTTTTAAAATTTGATATATTAACTAAGCGCTTCATTTTGATTTGAGCGAAGTGAACCTAATCTATTCGTGTTCATATTTAACAAATAAATATTTTAAAGTCTTAGTCTGTAAAAAAAAAAAATAAAAAAAATATCATCTCACTAAGAAACTCATTATCCAATAATTTCATTTAAAGTTTCAAGCTCGTAAAATATTAAATCATTCATCAAAATTGTTTGTATATTTCACTATTTTGTTATTTTTGTAAAAATACTTTGAATAGTGAAAGAAAATGAATAAATTTTTTGTATTTAAATATAAACGAAATATTGAGTGTGATTTTTTATTAAATGGGAACATTTGCAGATTGAACTCCCAAATGCCTCCATAAATGTATGCAATCAATATCCAAATCAAAGTTTATCAGGTTAAAGACAAGCTTCCTAATTTACTATAAAATATATAAATCATATTTGCATATTTTGTTGGTTTAACTCTCTAGACATGATCTAGATTTATCAAACCGATAAGTATTCAGTAAATATAATCCTTATGTCCAAATCTATTATGCGATCGAAGATAGCTCTCTTGTTATTACCCTCAATCTGGTATTGTACGCTTCACTCAGCGAACGGGGTGGGCAGGAAGTGGACTGCAGGCAAATGCCTTTATAAAGATAACGCTCAGCCTACGCGACTGCAGCTAAGAGAAACGTGTTTCAGGCCAACTCTTGGCCAGCCTTTCAGCTTGTTGTGTAGCCTGAGATACGGATATTTTTAATGCGTTCGCTGCAACTTGAAAGCCAAACATGGCACAAAGATCGATTGGAACGAAAGTGTTGATAAGGTAAGACCAAGAGATAAAGTCAATCAATCAGCGGAGACAGCGTCTTTTTTTAAATTGACTTAATTATCTAGTCTAGAGACTAAAAATAGTTGCTTCACATCGAAATTGGTAACTTAATATGCCAATTGGCTGCGAACAAGCCAATGACTTGAGCTTATGAACATATTAAGAGCGCTTGGACACGACTCTGAATGGGTTTTATTAACAAATTATACAAAATATTTGGACAGCAAAACAATTTGCTGTGAATGACAACAAAAGATGGTATTGAGTTTCAATAGAAACTGGTTTGTGGTCTTATCAGTTGTTATTTTTCTTTTGTTGTGTTTCGTTTTCCGAGTTAAGAGCATTTCAGAAATTATTGTTAAATTAGCTTGAAAATTGTCTGATCAATTTTCTAAGCCAAAAACTTGGCAAATTCCCGAAACTGCTGAAATACACGAAAACTTTCACATTGCGTCCTTTCAACTGCCACACACATACACACACAGAAAACTTGCAACCAAACAAATAGCTGGCCATAAGAAGTTGTTCAAATATTTATTTACTTTTTCAAGTTGTTTCTTTATTTCATTTTTTTTCTTCTCTCTTCTATTCTTTATGTATAAGTCCTTGGGGCAAAAGTTGGCCGCTACTTTTTGCACCTGGCTTAAGTTGTGCTGCTGCAAAACTAATAACAAATCTTTTCATTAGTTGCGTTAGACAAGTTAGTTAAAAAGTGCACTTTAGGCAAACAAATGGGAGTCTATATACAGAAAACAATAGAGCAGAACAGCATAAGGAGAAAAAAATTGTCTAAGCCAATAACCAGCAGGCAGCTGCCGAAAAGCCACAGTTGGAGTTAGAAAACTGACTGCAAGTTGTCGAAAAGTTGCCACTACCCTAACCATAATGAAAACACAACATTTAGTTAGCACTTGTATTTATCTAAGGCCAACACACACCGACACACATACAGAGTGCAGCAAGCACTGAGTAGGATGGCCAACAGTTTTCCATTAATAACTCAAAAATGTTTTCACTTATATAAGTTCAGTACACCTTTTAACTGGCTCTCTGGGGATGACTGCTCGCAAGTGTCCTTTAAAAAGTTGTGTGTTTCTTGTTTTTCATATTTTTCCTTGGTCCCATGTTTGTTGGGCAACAAACAAATCAAAGGAGTTGGCAACTTGCTTTGCCACTCTATCGACTTGTTGGTAGGGGGTATAGAAGGCGTGGCAGTACAATGACTCTAACAACAGCAGGGACAAGTCATGACAATGGCAATTAAACCAACAACGTTGGCAACAGACAAACTTTGGCCATAAAAAAACATTAAAAGCAAAAAAGAACCAACAGCAACAACTATGGCAAAATGGGTAAAAACTCTCGTAATAAACGAAAATTATGATGATTTTCTATTTGGCGTCGCGTTTTACAAAATCATTTTCAAAGTCCAAGCGCAAAAACAAAGCAACATAAAAGCCATTCGACAAAGGAGCTGAAAGACAAACACACAGCCTGAAAGAGAGCGATAAAGAAGAAAAGAGGGGCAGATGGAGATTAAGACGGAAAAACCGAATGGAAAAAGAAATTAAATGACAGGAAAATATATATTAAATGATAGCAACAATGTTTATTGTCGCGAGTGCGTTAAGTGAAATCATTTACAGCTGGCTTAGCTTACGCTACCCATGAGAAACTTAGAAGGAGAAGCTTTTTTCGACACGCCGCATATTAAATACCCTTGTTATAATACGGCTTAAAGAATTGCAGTTGGATATGAGAGTATATTATAATATGGTTAGAAAGAAACAGATGAAATTTAGTTAAATAGAACAAATGTATTTAGCCACACAAGAACTCGTTCCTATGGCAGCTATATAATATAGTGGTCCGATCCCTAACTATAGTGAACTATCATAGTACAGAAAACAGAGTGCTAAGCAACACCTATGTTAAAATAGGGCAGCAACAAACAAAATAAGTTCCTAGTGGTTAGGTTCTTCGAATCACCTATTTGCATCAAGCTTTCTTAACCTAGATTTCCGCAAACATAATATCAGCTGTTTTTTTCCATTTGTCATATATTTTCAAAATTTAATGAAGCAATTTATCAATTTACGTTTGCCCGTTGTACTGAGAAAATTGAAAGCTGTACATTTTTTCATATACAAAATGCGGGCTACATTTGATCTCGATAGTACTGATCTTTACTAGTGCAAAATGGTATAAAATTCAAAAATCGGACATTATTTGGCCGATATATGCTAAAATATCATCAAAAAAGGTTGACTTCAAACGAATCGTTCTTAGGTCAACAACTTTTTTTAACCAATCGATTTTCAATTTGTTTGATCCGTACGCAAACCTGCCTGATATCGGAAATTGCATCCCAACTCATGGAAAAATGTGGAACAATAGTTTTTAAATATTAAAGCTTTTGGGAAAAGTCGCTTTTGATATTCTAATCAGTTGGCGTGTCTCTGTCCAGAGCTTTCAATTGTATTTTTGAGAACGCAGTTCGTAATCGAGAACCTTCAAATACATTTCAATTTGTATTGAAATTCATATGAAATGGAAATCCAAAACGAGTATGAGCCTCCGAAACCAAAGGGCAGGTGGGCCCGGCTGATGCAAATGGTTGACCGCTCGAAGAAAATACGATACAGTTCGATCAGAGAGGCACGCCGAGCAGTATTAAATTTCTTTATCTATGTAATATTTCTGGCACTGGCATCAGTTGGTAAGCGATTAATTGGCATCTTTAGCGTAGGAATAATCCAGCCTCATCCTGCAGTGACACAGACAACCAACAATGTTCCCATGTACTATTTAAACGATGCTATGCACAGGCAGGTTATAGGTCGTCGGGTGCCTATGGAGCCTGGATTGATTAGCAAATATACGGATATCGACTCATTGGATAGGTATTGGGACTTCGTTCTGTACACGTTCCTACCATTGCTCTCTTCAGGCGACTTTAAGTCGACCGATAAAGAGTCCATCTGGGAGTTCACCAATGAGACAAATCAGTTCAATGGGATCTATGGCGACATCTACAATCGAGTCATACTGCATGGAAATGTGCTGCTCGGACCCCCACGTTTTAGGCAGATTATGGTGGAGAGGGGTCACTGTAAAAAGTGTGCCCCCTTCACGAAACACATGGACACCTGCTATGCTCCCTACACGTGGTCCAATGAGCGCCGCTCGGACTACCGCGGCACCAAGTGGGTCGGCATGTGGGCGGACGGTGCGTTGCCGATCATTGGCGAGATTGAAGTCTATTTGGGCGCCGGCTATATAAAGAGCCTCAGCTATGACAATGAATTTAACTTTCGCCTAGTTAAACACTTACGCGACACCAAATGGATCGGTCGCTCCACACGGATTGTCCTAATCGAGCTTAGTTTGTTTCACGTCAACACTCGCCTCTTCGAGAGCGTCAAGTAAGCAAAGACTAATTAGTTTTTCTTTGTTCGATATAATTTTATTTGAATACTTAAGTTATGGAACTTTATCTTTTTATACCCTGAACCCATTAAAAATGGGCATAAGGGTATATTGTATTTGTGAGAAAGCCAAATGTATGTAACAGACAGAAGGAAGCAACGACGACCCCATAGAGTATATATATTCTTGATCAGCATAAATAGCTGAGTCGATCTAGCCATGTCCGTCTGTCTGTCCGTCCGTCCGTCCGTCCGTCCGTCCGTCCGTCCATATGTATGAACGCAAGGATCTCAGAACCTATAAGAGCTAGAGACCTGAAATTTTAGATGTAGATGCTCCTAGCTTCCGCGCAGATCGAGATTGTTTCCGATAATCGATACCTAACTCCGTTTCCAAGCAATCGATAAAAATCGATATCGATATCCTGTTTTTTGGGCAATTTTGGTAAATAATAAGATCTAGAGTCACCAAACTTGACATATAGCTTCTAGAATATATATATGATTTAGGATTTTTCTTCACGGTTTTCCCTCTAGATTAATCTGACATTCAAATCTGAACACCGATTTTTAGTTGAAATTCATGTCCAAATCTTACCCCAAGATTTGTGTATATACATGGGTCAAAAGTTACCACCCCCATAACTCGGTCAAATCTGATCCGATTTCCACGAAGTTTGGCTTTTTCTTCATGGTTTTCCCTCTCGATTAATCTGGCATTCAAATCTGAACACCGATTTTTTAGTCGAAATTCATGTCCAAATCTTACCCCAAGATTCGTATATAGACATGGGTCAAAAGTTACCACCCCCATAACTCGGTCAAATCTCATCCGATTTCCACGAAGTTTGGCTTTTTCTTCATGGTTTTCCATCTTTATTAATGTGGCATTCAAATCTGAACACCGATTTTTAGTTGAAATTCATGCCCAAATCTTACCCCAAGATTTGTGTATATACATGGGTCAAAAGTTACCACCCCCATAACTCGGTCAAATCTCATCCGATTTTCACGAAGTTTGGCTTTTTCTTCATGGTTTTCCCTCTCGATTAATCTGGCATTCAAATCTGAACACCGATTTTTAGTCGAAATTCATGTCCAAATCTTACCCCAAGATTCGTATATAGACATGGGTCAAAAATGACCACCCCCATATCTCGGCCAAATCTCATCCGATTTTCACGAAGTTTGGCTTTTTCTTCATGGTTTTCCATCTAGACTAATCTGGCATTCAAATCTGAACACCGATTTTTTAGTCGAAATTCATGTCCAAATCTTACCCCAAGATTCGTATATAGACATGGGTCAAAAATGACCTATAACTCGGTCAAATCTCATCCGATTTCCACGAAGTTTGGCTTTTTCTTCATGGTTTTCCCTCTCGATTAATCTGGCATTCAAATCTGAACACCGATTTTTAGTCGAAATTCATGTCCAAATCTTACCCCAAGATTCGTATATAGACATGGGTCAAAAATGACCACCCCCATATCTCGGCCAAATCTCATCCGATTTTCACGAAGTTTGGCTTTTTCTTCATGGTTTTCCATCTAGACTAATCTGGCATTCAAATCTGAACACCGATTTTTTAGTCGAAATTCATGTCCAAATCTTACCCCAAGATTCGTATATAGACATGGGTCAAAAATGACCACCCCCATAACTCGGCCAAATCTCATCCGATTTTCACAAAGTTTGGCGTTTTCTTCGTGGTTTTCCCTCTAGATTAATGTGGCATTCAAATCTGAACATCGATTTTTAGTCGAAATTCATGTTCAAATCTTACCCGAAGATTCGTATATAGACATGGGTCAAAAATGACCTATAACTCGGTCAAATCTCATCCGATTTCCACGAAGTTTGGCTTTTTCTTCATGGTTTTCCATCTAGATTAATCTGGCATTCAAATCTGAACAGCGATTTTTTAGTCGAAATTTATGTCCAAATCTTGCCCCAAGATTCGTATATAGACATGGGTCAAAAATTACCACCCCCATATCTCGGCCAAATCTCATCCGATTTCCACGAAGTTTGGCTTTTTCTTCATGATATTCCCTCTAGATTAATGTGGCATTCAAATCTGATCATCGATTTTTAGTTGAAATTCATGTTCAAATCTTACCCCAAGATTCGTATATAGACATGGGTCAAAAATGACCACCCCTATAACTCGGTCAAATCTCATCCGATTTCCACGAAGTTTGGCTTTTTCTTCATGGTTTTCCATCTAGATTAATCTGGCATTCAAATCTGAACACCGATTTTTTAGTCGAAATTCATGTCCAAATCTTACCCCAAGATTCGTATATAGACATGGGTCAAAAATGACCACCCCATAACTCGGTCAAATCTCATCCGATTTCCACGAAGTTTGGCTTTTTCTTCATGGTTTTCCCTCTAGATTAATCTGGCATTCAAATCTGAACACCGATTTTTTAGTCGAAATTCATGTTCAAATCTTACCCGAAGATTCGTATATAGACATGGGTCAAAAATGACCTATAACTCGGTCAAATCTCATCCGATTTCCACGAAGTTTGGCTTTTTCTTCATGGTTTTCCATCTAGATTAATCTGGCATTCAAATCTGAACAGCGATTTTTTAGTCGAAATTTATGTCCAAATCTTGCCCCAAGATTCGTATATAGACATGGGTCAAAAATTACCACCCCCATATCTCGGCCAAATCTCATCCGATTTCCACGAAGTTTGGCTTTTTCTTCATGATATTCCATCTAGATTAATCTGGCATTCAAATCTGAACACCGATTTTTTAGTCGAAATTCATGTCCAAATCTTACCCCAAGATTCGTATATAGACATGGGTCAAAAATGACCACCCCATAACTCGGTCAAATCTCATCCGATTTCCACGAAGCTTGGCTTTTTCTTCATGGTTTTCCCTCTAGATTAATCTGACATTCAAATCTGAACACCGATTTTTTAGTCGAAATTCATGTCCAAATCTTACCCCAAGATTCGTATATAGACATGGGTCAAAAATGACCACCCCATAACTCGGTCAAATCTCATCCGATTTCCACGAAGTTTGGCTTTTTCTTCATGGTTTTCCCTCTAGATTAATCTGGCATTCAAATCTGAACACCGATTTTTTAGTCGAAATTCATGTTCAAATCTTACCCGAAGATTCGTATATAGACATGGGTCAAAAATGACCTATAACTCGGTCAAATCTCATCCGATTTCCACGAAGTTTGGCTTTTTCTTCATGGTTTTCCATCTAGATTAATCTGGCATTCAAATCTGAACAGCGATTTTTTAGTCGAAATTTATGTCCAAATCTTGCCCCAAGATTCGTATATAGACATGGGTCAAAAATTACCACCCCCATATCTCGGCCAAATCTCATCCGATTTCCACGAAGTTTGGCTTTTTCTTCATGATATTCCATCTAGATTAATCTGGCATTCAAATCTGAACACCGATTTTTTAGTCGAAATTCATGTCCAAATCTTACCCCAAGATTCGTATATAGACATGGGTCAAAAATGACCACCCCCATATCTCGGCCAAATCTCATCCGATTTTCACGAAGTTTGGCTTTTTCTTCATGGTTTTCCATCTAGACTAATCTGGCATTCAAATCTGAACACCGATTTTTTAGTCGAAATTCATGTCCAAATCTTACCCCAAGATTCGTATATAGACATGGGTCAAAAATGACCACCCCCATATCTCGGCCAAATCTCATCCGATTTTCACGAAGTTTGGCTTTTTCTTCATGGTTTTCCATCTAGACTAATCTGGCATTCAAATCTGAACACCGATTTTTTAGTCGAAATTCATGTCCAAATCTTACCCCAAGATTCGTATATAGACATGGGTCAAAAATGACCACCCCATAACTCGGTCAAATCTCATCCGATTTCCACGAAGTTTGGCTTTTTCTTCATGGTTTTCCCTCTAGATTAATCTGGCATTCAAATCTGAACACCGATTTTTTAGTCGAAATTCATGTTCAAATCTTACCCGAAGATTCGTATATAGACATGGGTCAAAAATGACCTATAACTCGGTCAAATCTCATCCGATTTCCACGAAGTTTGGCTTTTTCTTCATGGTTTTCCATCTAGATTAATCTGGCATTCAAATCTGAACAGCGATTTTTTAGTCGAAATTTATGTCCAAATCTTGCCCCAAGATTCGTATATAGACATGGGTCAAAAATTACCACCCCCATATCTCGGCCAAATCTCATCCGATTTCCACGAAGTTTGGCTTTTTCTTCATGATATTCCATCTAGATTAATCTGGCATTCAAATCTGAACACCGATTTTTTAGTCGAAATTCATGTCCAAATCTTACCCCAAGATTCGTATATAGACATGGGTCAAAAATGACCACCCCCATATCTCGGCCAAATCTCATCCGATTTTCACGAAGTTTGGCTTTTTCTTCATGGTTTTCCATCTAGACTAATCTGGCATTCAAATCTGAACACCGATTTTTTAGTCGAAATTCATGTCCAAATCTTACCCCAAGATTCGTATATAGACATGGGTCAAAAATGACCTATAACTCGGTCAAATCTCATCCGATTTCCACGAAGTTTGGCTTTTTCTTCATGGTTTTCCATCTAGATTAATCTGGCATTCAAATCTGAACAGCGATTTTTTAGTCGAAATTTATGTCCAAATCTTGCCCCAAGATTCGTATATAGACATGGGTCAAAAATTACCACCCCCATATCTCGGCCAAATCTCATCCGATTTCCACGAAGTTTGGCTTTTTCTTCATGATATTCCATCTAGATTAATCTGGCATTCAAATCTGAACACCGATTTTTTAGTCGAAATTCATGTCCAAATCTTACCCCAAGATTCGTATATAGACATGGGTCAAAAATGACCACCCCCATATCTCGGCCAAATCTCATCCGATTTTCACGAAGTTTGGCTTTTTCTTCATGGTTTTCCATCTAGACTAATCTGGCATTCAAATCTGAACACCGATTTTTTAGTCGAAATTCATGTCCA